TAATTATTATGCAATAACTGATAACACTTCTATATTGATACGATTAAATTCATCAAAACAAGCCCATGCTCCAGCACTTGCTAACCCTTTAAAGAATTTACCTACCATAATATAATCCATTTAATCTGAACAATTAAAAACAACACATTATTTTGCCAAAGCTTTAGCTAAATCTTTTGTTGATTCTGTTTTACCAGTACCTGCTGGTCCTGCAGGTGCGCCACCTAAATTCAATTTTAATGCTCCCATAAGTGTCATATAACATTTATCAGTGAGAGGAGTGATGACTAATCTCAATGTATTTCCTAAATATTCATATCCATAAGGAAAATTTGTTTAAATACATTTTACATAACAATTGTCCTATTCCCAATAATATCTTAATTGTGATATCCATTCAAATGCTGAAACATCTTCAACATTTTCTTTTTATAATAATTCCACAACATCTTTAGCATGTACATCAATAACAATTAATGCATTTATTGTCACCATTTACATTTTTGTTAATTTAGTTCTAACTAAATCAACTAAATTATTTAGTTAAGCTTATAATTATTCCAAATATTATTTAACTTTTTAACCTTTGATGGCTGTTTCAACTTCTTTAGTCCAATGTACTTAAGATCCATTTAAAACACATTGTCCAGGATGCATGGTTACCCACTTAATTCTTGGTGTTTCTACATATTAATGAACTGAATTAAGTAAAGCTGCTCTAACACTCTATTTCATTTAATCTTCAACATCATTCATCCAATCTTCTACGTTTTTATGATTTGGGTCGATCACTTTAACAAAATTGATTTTTTCTCCTTCTGCTGAGAACATTGCATGAATTTTCTTGCTACTATCAAATTCAATTTAATTAACATTTTCAAATACTTTTCTTAGATGAGGTTACACAGCAGTTGGTTCTTTAGTCTAAGATAATATTTCCAATAAATCATCATTAGATAAGAAATAAAATCTAGCAAATCTTTCTCTTTTTCTCTCCAAGTAATTATTTAATTCCTTTTGAATTTATTCTAAACTATTATAACCTTCAGTAAGTTTCTCTAATAAGCCTTCAGCTGAACATACTTTTAAAACATTCAAAGTATTCTTAGCATTAATCATTATTAATTTCCAATTTTGATCAACCACCTTAAATCTTTTTGATTCTAAGGGTAATTATTTTATGATATCTTAACTATCAAAAATAGGTTACAAATACATCCAATTTACTTATACTTTAGCCCAAACTTCAAGAATATCACTAACTTTTTTTAAAGTACTGTTCCAATCATTAAGAAGTCCTTCAAAAGGTTTTTTAAATGGTGAAAAAAGCATAGCTTATGTATTTACAATATGTTCATCTAAAGTATTGCCTATATCATCAAATCCTCTAATAATAAATGAAATATTCTTGTATCCAGCAACATCAAAATTAATTTGTTCCCATTAACCCATCATAGAATTAAGCATAGTTTCTATTTGAAATTCTTTATAAGCTCTTTCTCCTATTTCCATACAATCTTCAACAATCTTCATTAATCCCATATCAACAGCTTTTGTAAATGTAAATCCTGGAACTGGTTTAACTTCTTATCCTAATTTTTAAGAGACTTATTCCCAATGCCTTTCTTTCATACCCTATTTTCTTAATGCAACCATTAATGGAACTTTTGGTTTGAATTCTTCCAAAAAAGAACGAACATTTTAACCAATTTTTAAAACTGGTTAAATATCTTTATCACTAAAATTTTTATTAACTAATGCTGTTGTCTTATAAGCTTCTTCCATAAACTTCTCACAATAATCTGCATCTAATTTTTCAAAATCATCATTTCTCCAATGTTCAATATTTTTAAACCATTAATTAGTAGTCAACCATAAATCTGAATATGGTCTGAATTCTTTTACCATTTATTAAATTACACTATAATCTGTCTATTCCATTTCAAATAATAATTCTCTAGAATTAAATTGTCTAGCATTCTCTTAGAACTTTTATAATTGATCATTGATTCCTCTCACTCTCTAAGCTACACTCTCATGATCATCCATATTTTAATATGAATAGAATGTTGATATTGTTATTTATAATGATTTCACTTATTCTAAAAAGAAATCCTACTCTTATTTCATCTTATCTTAGAATAGACCCTTTTCTTTTTCTAATGCTTATGATCTTATTTCTACTAATTCCATTATTTCTTTTGGTCCTCCATAAACTTACCATCTTCTTTGAATATCTTCAATTTAAAATCTAACTTTAAATGGTTCTAATAAATCATATAATTCACATGATTTATCTATATCTTCTTTCACTTTTTCCAATTCAAGTGGTAAATTTACCATATATTATTTGATTTCTGTCAATTTTTCTATATCTACTGGAGGTTCATTTAATCTCAATTTCACTTTCTAAATTTCATCATACAATAATAATGTTGATTATTTTACTCTCTTTACAATTACTTCTATCAACAATTTGTATAATTGTTGATATTTACCTGTCAATAATTAACTAATTTCTTTGCAATTAACTTTGAAACATCCTACTTGTATTTAATCAGGTATCTATAATTTCAATTTCTCTTCTTTTTTTTATAACTCTAATACTTCATCTCTTATTAATTCTGTTTCCTTTGGTTTTTCTTCATTATCAACTGTTTTTATATATTCTTCAGGTCTTATCATTAAAATTTCTTTGTAAACTTAAAAACATTTCAAATATTCATCTAATGCAACAAGTGATTTATCTAAATGTTCACTTAAGGCATCAAATAATTTATTAACCCAAATATTTTCATCAAAAAAATACGGATCTTAATTACCAAAAGGATCATTGGTAATCTAAGACTTTTAAGGTACCTTATAATACATTTCAGATCTTGTTCCTTTAAATATTTCTTTCATTAATTTTGGTTCTAAATCTGGAATCTTAGCTAAATCTTCTAATGCCCTATTAAATATTATCAAAATTGTTGTTGAATAATTTCTAATCATTGTTGAATAACAGAAATTATCTTCATTAATTGCTTTAAGTAATTCAATTGTAAATAATGGTTTTACTGCTCTGGGATCATAAAAACTATCAGGATTCTTGTAACTTAAAACTAATCCATCAGCAAATTCATTTATTACATCATCTGGTCCATTAATAATAACCTTTGTAGGTATATAATTTCTAATATATTTATCATAATTGTTAAATGACTTTTATGATAAATTTAAAATAGCATCTTAAATCATAAGTCTTACACAACCAAAGAATTTCTTTAGTCTTCCTTTATCATAATTAGCTCTATCAGTTTCTTTTAAATTAAACCATTTTTGAGCTACTTTATTTTTATCTTTATCAAATTCTTTCTCTTTTTCTTTTGGTTTTTCTTTATCCTCTTTTTCTTTATTATCTTTCTCCTTATCCTTTTAAAGTTATTCCTTATCTCCAAATTATTTTATAATAATTTTTTCAACATCTTCCATAAAGTCTTTTCTCAATTTGCTCATTGATGTTACTAGTTGTGAATCATTATTTTATTTAAATTCATCTAATTTATATGGTGGTTAACTTTAACCATTGATATAAAAATATTCTAATTCTTATAATTAATTGCATTTTTCAGTTATCAACTATAAACATCTAACTGATTCTGGACTAGCCATAATACTATTTAACAAAAATTCTTTAAAAATTTCAGTGAAGCTTTTAGGTTCATTAAAAAATACTTCATGTGGAGTCCACATATAAATTTCTTTAGCTCCTTTCTTAGCTTCTAATTCTAACATCCCATAATACTTAGGATCTTTTTTAATTGAAACTTCTGGTAGTATTAAACCATGTGGTACAAGATCTGTTGGATTAGCTGTTAAATGATAATCAAAAAGGATTCTATTCATTAACAATTAATAATCAATAGCAGCATCCATCATTAACGCAGTTATTTCACTAAATTCAAGTTTCTTATTTTTTCTTATTAAATCTTCAATTTTCTTTTTTTAATCATTAGGCATATCTGGAAGATGTTCTCTAGGCATACATTAAATGAAAGCACTCTTCTTTAATAATGAATGTGCTACAATTCTATGATACCATGCTTATGCAAATCTATCAGCCCATTTGTAATGATTTTCATGATCAAAACACAAATAAACTCTTGGTATCAAACGTTTACCTAAAGATGGTAATATACATTTAAACTTTCTCTTTTCTTCATCATATCCAATCACTTACCCTCTTTCAAATGTACCATTGTTCTCGTTACAAATTACAATCTTTGCTGTAACTTCATAGGGTTACTCATCAAATAGTACATTTTCAAATTCTATTCTATCATCCACAAACACTTGTTCCAATCCAACATCATCATGTATTTGTAACGGAAGCTATCTTAAGTGTTAAGTTGGATCATTAAAATCAACTCCCTAAACTTATTTTAGATGCTTACTTTACTCAACAGCAATTGTTATAAATCAATTGAGCTATTATCATCTCTTTTCTGAATAAAATATTCCTCTTTACTTAAAGCCACTTTTTAATTGGCATTTGGATCGTAATCTTCCTCTATTGGCTTCTCTTATTTATGAAGAATTCTATATTGAAATCGTTCCTTGCTAAATTTAAATTAAGCCTTCTTTGAAGGAGAACCCATTAGATTTGACATATTTAATAATAAATTAATAAATAATTATTATGCTTCTATCCTTTCAGCTTATTAACTAAGTTCTCATTTTACGTAATTAGTATTATTTTATTTGTCTACCCCTAAATCAAAATAAATTCTCATTATAATTTCAATTTCTTAGATTGTACTTTGTTTTGAAAAATAAGTATCTCAATTAAGATTTTAAAGATTGTTGTAATCAATCTAGTAATAAGTAATAATTAGGTTTAAAAAACCTAATTTAGTTATTTTATTCCTAATTTAAATACAATCAACAGAAAGATGAATTTTTGAATAAATTTTAATTTTATAAACAGTATATAAATTAAAAGTATTTTTCATAAATAAATGTAATAATCTGATCGAGGAATTGTTCAAACAGAGAGATAATCTTATAAATAATTACCATTAATCACTAAATGTAGACAATCAATAAAAAGCATTATGTCAGATGCAGAAATGTTAAAAAAATCTGTAAGTTTTGAAATTATCTATTAAAGTCAGTTAATAATGATCGATGTTTAAAACCTCTAGGTTAACAAATATTAAGAAAGGAATTAAAGATTCACTCTTCAATTATAGAATTTAAACAGAACTTTAAAAATATGTTGACTAATTCGAAATATGGTTTACAATATATGAAAAGAAGAGTTTTTCCTAAACTATAACCACTTTGATTAAATATTACTATTTAAATTTAATGAAAAATAAAATAGATCTAAGAGCTTCCCTTCATATTTTTTGTAAGTTATTTTAATACAATTATTTTTAGTTTTTATATTCTGCTTGATAATAAGAGAGTACCTTAAAAAATTACTCTAATATAAATCCTAATCTTAATTAATACGTTTACAAGGTTTCTCTGGTGAAGAAAATTCGAATGATAAGTAAATGTTAGTGTTTCAGCTGTTGTGTCAATATAATTTGTTTATTGCATTTTATATTATAAAGATTCAAAGTGCTATCTAAATTCTGATGCTGTCTTATAAAAAATTGAATAAAGGAAATAATAATCACAATAAAATTAAATATAGATTTAACCACTTAATTAAAAAAATAAAATAAGAATAAAATTTATGTAAATTAAATGGTATGAGGATAAACTTCATTAAGCATGAAATTTAATAAAAATACATATAAGATTATTCAATTATTTTTCTTAAACTCAACTTTCATTAGTTTTCCCATATCAATAATTTATTCTTAAACAAAGACAATCTAAATTATAAATATTAATTACTTTTTCCTCTATTTTTTATATGAGTTCTTTCTCTTTAATACCTTTATTGCTATCTAAATCGACCAATTCTCTAGCTTAATTAAAAGGAACCCAACAAAGATCTTCTTCTTTCAATTTTTGATCAACATAACTTTCAATTCCTGAATATTCAGTTTTCTCTTTCCATTTTAAATAAGCAAAGAAATGAACATAATTCCACATATAATGATTCATTTTAATATGTTCTCTAAAACCTCCATTACTTTTTGATTGTAATCGATCAAATTCAGCTCTAATAATTATTAACTATAATAATAATACTTTAAGTTTCCACATACAAAACAATTGTCAACCATATCATTTAATTTATTACCTTCTTCTTCTCTTAAACTTCCGAATGTATCAATAATAATACCAGCCACTATATTAAGCATAATTACACCTAAAATAATATTGCTGACTTCATCAAAGAAAAACCTACCAACACCTAATTCTCTTGCAACATTATTTATATCTAGTTCTTACTAAACATAATCTCCTATTGAACCTCTAAAAGTCCATTCTATATTCATCATAAAACAATATAATAAAGTATCACAATATCCTGCAAACTCATTCGATAATCTCCAATATGCAAAAATTGTAAATACATAAACCAATAAAAAAAGTAAGAAAAATGTCAAAATTAATTAGGTTCTAGGTCTGTATACTGATAAAATAATATTTTTAAGTGTTGGATATCTGAATAGAATTTCAGTTAAATGAAATATAAAAAATAAAGGGTGATAGAAGGTTCCTAAAATTGCAAATAAACCATAAGCAATGTAATACATAACTTCTACTTCTTGTAGAAAACTTAAAATAGTTTAAATGAATTTATAAAACATATCTATTAAAATAAATAAAGGATTTGGATCTTGATTATCAAATAACCCTTTTTATAGCCAAGCTCTTTTTAGAATTAAAGGAGCATTTTTTAGTAAATAAAACGAAACAACAAATAATGATAAACCAGTCATAACAATACCAATAATATAAATGATAGTCTTAGTAACCATAGGATTAAAATTTTCATATTAACTAAAAAAAATGTAATCTTAAACTCTATCTCCAACTGATCCATCAAAACTAAAAAGTATAAATAAATTTAAAAATAAAGTTAAGAAGAATGCTAATTCTCTCCATAATTTCACATAATCAGTAAGTAAAGCTAAATATTTTTATCTATCAAATAATCTCTTTAAATATTCTTCATGTTTACAAACTTCAATTAATGTAGGAGCTACTTACATTAATCCTTAAACTTTAGATTATGTAGTACTTCTATCTACCTGATCATGAAATAGAATCTTCTATTCTTTAGGCAAATATTTTGTTGATGGCAATTTTATAAAATAAACAACTTCAAGATTATCATCATGCATAACATCTATATGTGCGCTATTCTCTAAATAAAAGTTTATAGCTAACTGTAAATCTTGTCTATATTATTCCTCTTTTATTCTTTATTTCTCCTCTTCAGACATATCTGGTTAGATTTAATTATTTTTAAACTAATCTGTTGCTAAATTTTTCATTGAATTTAAAGTTCCAAATAAATTTCTAATCAAAGCAATCGTAAATTGTATTAACATATATATAAAAGAATCCTTAAATATTTACCAAACTTCGTTACTTGTTTGTGTTTTTAATATCTTTCTTTTATGCATTCTTGTAATTTTTATTATTGGACTTACAATATAAGGATCACATTCCATATAATAACTCATTAAGAAAAATAATAAAAATCCATTTTATAATATAGTTTCAAAATAAGGAAACTATTAAGATAGTTATTTTATTCTATCATATTTACTTTCTTTCATTTTTCTTAATTAATATGGATCAATTGATAAATGCTCTAGTGCTTCAATTTCATATTTATCACCATAAATTTTTACAAATTTATTATATTCATTTACACAATGTTTTTCCAATAAATTAATTGGTAAATTTCTCATAATTCTTTTTAAAATAGGATTATTTTAATTTATCTCACTTCCTTCTAATAGACTCATAATTAAATTTAATATTTTATTCATTAATCTACAAATTTGCCATCTTTGTAATGGTTAATTCAAAAGAGATTTTCTTTTTCCAATTTATTCAATTTCATCAGGTGGAGATAAGATTTCTTATTAGGCAAATAAATCAGCTGCAATATCCAAAAATTTAGATTCAGAAATAGCTTTCTAATTATCTGAACAAGGTCCTTAAACTAATTCATTTAAAGTATCCAAACATTTTAACATATTATCATAATTTTTTTAAATTCTACCATCATAATAATAAGTTTTAAATAGATCAGTAATTGCATTAGTTAAATCATAATTATTTTTAGAATTAGTTTATTCTCTAAAATAGTTTTAAAGCTTTCTATAATGACCTTCAACAGCATTTTATAAGAATGTCAACACTTCTAAAACTAAACTTAAATCTTCTTAAAATTCATTATAATCTATTTATAATAAACCTGCAGATTCATCTTCCGATCCCCCTTTAGATTTAGATAAGATTTCTAAATTTTCAATTTGTTTTCTGATTATAAAATATATTTTTTAGAAAATATTTTCAGATTAACTGAAATTTATCATAAAACTATATATAGTTCCTTATACTTGTTCATTTCCTCCATCTAATAATGTATTAATAAATTAAAGAAATGACTATTTTTAATATAATAAATATAATTACCATCATTAATTTCTTATCTTAATTATTTTCACTTAAAACTAATAAAACCATTTAAGTAGCTCCTAATTTATCAAATAAACTTTGCATTTCTACTTTTCTTGCTGGATCAGTATCAATAATTTTTTTTAAAATATGTAATAATGTTTATATAGATCCTTTACAATTAGGATCTGAAAAAGCAGATTAGAGATAAGATATTAATTTTCTAGATATGCTTTTAACATCAGGTTTATTAGTTAAATTCTTACTAAATTCTGGTTTTAATAAACTAGATATATTTAAAATGGCATTAGCAATAGTTTCTCTTTCTTTTTCAGCTTCTTTTATAAATTAATCTTTATTTAATAATTCTTTTAAAAATTATTTCCACAATTTTTCAACCTTATTAGATTTTTTAGAATCATAACCTTCTAATAAATTTTCTTCACTTTCATCTTTTTCTTTCTCTTTCTCTGCAAATACATGTACTTTCTTTTTATTTGGCAAATATTTTTTACTTGACTTTTGCACAAGTTACTCATCAGGATTACTAAATTATTTTGATGTTAAACTGCTTTTTTTTGAATGATATCCTCCTCCAATTATTTCAATTACAGGTTTCGGATTAAGAGTATTATCATTATTATCTAAATCAACTTTATTTTCTTCTTAATCTACATCTATTAAAGAGTCTAATTTAATCTTTACTTAATTCCAAAGGGGATCATCTTTTTAACTTACTGTTTTTTCATAAAAGTTTTTACAAAATGTTTATAAACACCTAACTACCAATTTTGCATCTTCACTAGTTGTTATTATTGGATAAAGAATATTTGATTCTGATGTTAATATTTTTACTTTCTTTAACCATTCTTATATATATTTTTCAATTATCTATAAATCTTTTCTTAAATCTTATTTCTCAATATTTTTTAAGAATCTATCATGATAAGCCAAAACAAATGGAAATAATCCATAAATATGATAAGTTTTTAAATCTTGAGTGAATAATTATAAATCAGTAATCTTATCAAGTCTGTTAATTTCAAAAGTTATAAAATCTATGATTTATTATCGACAATGAAATAATTAAGAATGTTATACTTGTCCTCTTTCAGATGAAATATGAACCAATCTTAAAAATTCAATTACTTATAATTTAATTAATGTAATTCCTTTCATTTTTTCATTACTATCTAAATATTAAATTTGAGATTTCGTTGTTATAGGCATTTTTACAAATGCATCACTAGAACATAATATTTCAAGAAGATAAGCTGCTGTAAATAATCTTTTTAATTTACTTACACTTATGTTAAAATTCTTTTTAACATCTTCTTCCTTTGTATTTGAATTATATTTTCTTTTTTCTACATTATTTAAAGTAGTTTATATTAGAATATCTAATAATTATGCATGATAATAAAATGGTTCATCTCGAAATGTATCTCTATAATCTATTTCTCTAAGTTTATCAACAAATTTTAAATCAGGTTCTTAAATAGGATCATCTAAAAATAATTTTAAATCAGTGTTTCTTGATCCATCACAATACAATATTTTAATATCTTTTTCTCCAAATTCTATTGGCAATAGACTATTTTATATTAAAATTTAATTATCAAAAATATAACTTTGTTGATAAATCATTAATGATTAAAATACTTTTAAAAATCTCTTTTGTCTTCCCTCTTTAAGTATAAGTTATAAAATTATATCTATTACTTATTAATTTACTTTTTAAACAAGTAAAATCTTATTATTTTAAAATATAGCTTCAATTAATTCTAATTAACCTAGATCATATTACATATGTCTAAAAAAATTTAAATATTCATAAAGTATAATTTAATTTTCATTATTATTAAAACAAAAGTTTTTAAGAACTTCAAAAGCAAGTCTAAAAAAATCAATCATAACAATTTTTTTATCTTCTTCTAATTCTCTATCCATAATATATTCATGAATATATCTTAAACCATTAGGCAATAAATTAACTACTGCAATATGTGCTCCTAAATTTGCATACAATTATTATTTCTTAGGATCAATCACATCTAATGTTGAAATTAATTCGTTATCCTCTAATTTTATTTCACTTTTTAATCCATGATAAAAACTTGTTAAGTATTTCTATGCCTATTGAAAATCAACATTAATTCGATCTTCAAATATATAACTAGACATCCATGAATCTAAACGATCATTTAAAGTTTAGAATTTTTCCAAATTCATTGTTATATATTTATGTAATATTGTCTTTTCAGTATCAAAAATTACTTACATATTTAACATATTTCTTTTAAATTCTTCTTTTTATGTAAATAATCTTAATAACAATTAAAGACATCTTTTTTCAAGTTCTTTATCTTTTACATGATAAAATGTATGTAAAAATGTTGGTAACAAACTTGCCACTGGTTAATCATTTGGATTCAAATCACCTAATGCTAAACTTAAATATTAATCTAAATCTAAAATTTCTGGAATTTTAGGATTATTGATATAATTATAAAATCTGGTTTTTGGCTTTTCTTCTTATTTATTTATTTTCATTAAATTTTTGGTAAATGATGTTAAACTTATTTCTTCTTTTACAGGTTCATCAATCTCTTTTATGCCAGTTTAAGCTAAATTTGGAAGTAATCCTTATGCATGATTTTTTAACAATCTTTAAATAATTAATAGATTTTTTTGTCTTTAATTTAATTCTTCGTATTTTTTTCTATGACCAGGAGGCTTTTTTTTATTTTCTTTTTTTAAATACTCACTATAAGCAACAGGATTATTTTCAATATGATCTCCTTATAAAACATATATTTTAAAAAATACAATACAATTTTACATCATAAAATCTTATCTTAGATCTAATAAATATTCCATAAAATCACATATCTTAATTTTTAATTAAACTTCATTTTCAACAAATTTAGGATCCAAAAAATTCATTGTTTACATAATTGAAGCTAATTTTAAATATCCTCTCATAACAGGATTTAAATATGTATTTTAATCATTAGATGTTTAACTTTCTCCTCTTTATTCTTCATTATCATCTTCTTCTTTATTTTTTTTTTTCAATAGATTCATAAAATTTGGTGCACTTAACTTATGAATATTTTATTTATCTTATAATTTTTATTAAACTTTTTGTCTTTCTGTTTAACAATGAGCTTAAATTAAATTAAGTTCATATTTTTCATATGTAAATATATCTAAACAAGATTTAACCATTGATTAAATGAACATTTATGGTCTTAAATTAGTTTATAATGTATCTCCTAATGAATAATCTAAAACCCAAATTAAATTCAATTTCATAATCTTATCCAAAATCCTCATAGTATTTAAAATCAATTCTTCTTTTAAAAAATCAAAACCTTATTAATTTTAATTCCTTTTAGAATCTCTTTCATCACCACCTTAATTATTAGGTGCAGGACACATTACTTAATATATTTCATCTCCTTTCTCATTAACATAATTCATTAAATTCTAAACTAGATCTTTATATGTATTCAATTCCTAAACATTTGAAGATCCAGCATTTGTTGAACTCTTAAAAAGAATATAATCTTTTGGTTTATCACATTCACTAAATAATTAACACATAATAGGTGCTCTCTTTATTCTTAAAGGTTCTTAATCTATATATAATGTTAATGCTAATCTAGCAAAGCCAGGTTATAAATCTAAATATTTAGAGTCAATAGGATTTTTAAACCAAATATTTCTAAACAAAAAAGATTTTTCAAATTAAGCACCTAATTCATTCTTCCAAGAATAATTTCTTCCTAATGCAACTTCTGAAAAAAAAGTGATTTGTTCAATAATATACATAAATTTATCCCTTGAACTTTTATTTACATCTCTAATATCACAATCTTATGGAATAATTAACTAACCAGCTTTTGATGTTAATCTTACAGTACCATCATTACTTTTACTTTCTTCAGCTTTTGTTTCAACTCCCAATTTTGGTTATTTTGTATTATTTTTTTTGTATAATTTAAATATATTTTCTTAATTTATTTATATTGGTGATTCTGAATGACTACATATATTTCTTAAAAATTTCAAATAATAAGAATTATTTTTAGCTTCATCATCCCATAATAAGTTTATAAAATATTCAATTAAAGGAACAGGTTTTTTCATTATTTTTTCATGTTATTTTATCTCTATTTAATCTTCTTTATCATCAAATTAATATAAGTTAATTAATATTTTTATTTAGTCATTTTCATTTTCATTTTCTTCATAGAATTCAATTTTAATGTCTTCACTTAATTTAAATAATAAATATTTATTATTAGCTACAATATTAATAACAGCTTCAATTGCTTTTGGTAAATATTTTGTATGTAATTAAAAATAAGGTATTAAATCATAAGTATAAATTTGATTCTCTTTATTTAATTTACATACAGATCCTAAAAATTAATAGATTTAATCAATTAATTCAACTTTAGATTTAACATAATTATAATATTATGTTTTTAATGTATTTTCTGTTTTATATTCATGCATCATCAAAGCTTTATCTTCAAAAATTATATTACTTTCAACTTAAAAAATATTTTTTTATTATCTATCATTTTTTTCTGCATCAATTTCAATCTTTTAATAAAATTCTAATTCTCCTTTAGTAATAATTCTTTCTAAAATTTTGATTAAAATATCAATATAAAATTATTCTCTCATTAATTTTTATCTATATTGATTGATAGCTCCAAATTATTATTCTGCAGATGTTGTATAAGATTTATTATTAACAAAATTTTCTAATTCTGCAATACAACTTTTTAATTATTAAAATACACCAAACCATTTCCTTTTAGAAGAGAAGTTATCAATTCCAGGATATTTTGGATCTTAAATTTAGATAACAAATTTAGCTAATCTTCTAAAACAAGATTATAAGAATTAGATTTCCCAAACTTCATTTTTAGTAGCCATATGAATTTTAAATACAGCATGTTCAGTTTTTTCATTAGGTGCTTTTAATATTGGAATATATTCATGATTTTATTTATCACTTTAAAAATCCATCCAATTTTAACTTTATCTATTTTATAAATAAGTATAACTTCCTCCTTTTAAATATTTTTAATTAGGTTGTGTTTTAAGATCCACAAAAGTGAAAATAGTTGATTTATCAAGTTCTTAAGTAAGACGATATTTATATTATTACTTTTTATTTTATTTATTATTTTTATCTCCTTAAATTTCTGAAACACTTAAATAATATCCAGTTGTTACATTCTTTAATCTATATCCAGCCTCATATTTAACAAATCCTCCTTAAAGGAATTCTTCTCCTTCAATTTACCATAATCCATTTGTACTACCTTAATATCCTTAAGCACTCTCTGTTTAAGACTTTGCAATAGCAACATATAAATTATTAATAGATAACCATTCAGATAGATGATAGAATGTAAAATTTGCTTTATCTACTGCTTCTTTATGCTTTTACACTGAAAGTGTAGCTTCAGCTTCACTATGATAAAGCCATATACAATCTCCTACTCTTAGATTTCTAGAATTTTCAGAAATGTATTATTAAAACAAAACTATTTTCCAAGAATGAGATTATTCAACACTAGCATTTATTTCTCTCTTTTATATATGTTCCGATTTTTAAGAAGCATTACCTTTTATTTCTGAAATCTCTAACAATGAACAATTAATAAAGGCAAATCTATTTGAAATTGGCATAGCTCTTGTTATTGCACACATTTCACCTGCATTTACATCTTATTCACCATGACTTTAATACATATATGCAGGTACTATTTTAAATACTGTGTAATCACTTGAAAAATCATCTAATTTTATCAAATAATTTTGATTTTCTAATTATGCTTCATTATCATGACAGGCTAAAAATCTACCACTTGCTATATGTAATAATTAAAAAGGTTAATGATATGTTAATTTTTAACATCTTGATTTATCAATTGCATCAATATTTTGTTTATACTCATTCATTAATTAACTTAGCTCTTCATTCATTCTTTATGTTGGCATTTTCATCTTATCCTAAATTTCAAATTTATTATTTTTACATCTTTATTATCCTTTTCTCCAGACTTAATATCAGTTACATTATTATCTTATAAAATACGAGTCTTAACTGTATCAGAAACCCTAGGTAATACTTAAAATAAGCATTTGTAAAAAGAATCATTATCTAAGCCATCAAATGTTTTTCTTTTATATTATTCTTTTATACTTTTTTTATTCTTTATGTACAAAGTTTTTTAAAAATACTTCTGGTTTTAAAAATCCATCAGAAAATAAGAATGCATTTTGATCAACAAAATCTGATATTGCAATTATTGAACCAAATGTGACCAATGTCTAATCTATCTATTCATCTTCGTCCATTTTTTTATAATTATAATAATTAATTGTTTGAATAAATTCTTCAAATGAATAAATATCAAATTATCAAATACAATAATTTATTATTTAAGGTTTCATATATTATATAATTTAATACCAAGAATATTTAAAATTATTAATCAAATTCTTCCTTTTTATGGCATTAAAAATGATTAAAGAAGATCTATTTCTTATTTTTTTTAAGTTTTATTTAATTTCAACTCCTAATTATTTTAATTTTCAGGTCCAAATTTTTATTTTGTATTTTATAATGATTAATTAGTTGAATTATTAGGAATTTGAATTTATTATTAATTTTGAATATTAGTTTCTATATGACCTCCTAAGTATTATTCTATTTACTGAGTTTCTTAGAATTCTTAATCCTTAATTTCAATTTGAGGAATTGCTTCTTGAGCTAGAATATTTACTTTAGAGAGATATAACTTAAATTAAATAATAAAATATAAACTTCCATTTCTTATCTTAATTTTAAATTTTCTTCTTATAATTCTTTTTTTTCTTTTGAATTTTCTTGAGGGAAGTTCTTAATTAAAAATTCATTATAGTTAATTTTTTGATTAATAGTTTATTGTATTACTAATTTCATTTATTTATTTCCTTCATCATAAGTCTTAAACAATTAAATAATATATTATCTAAATTCTAAATCTCTTGATTAAGCTTATTTACTTAGGAATATATTAAATAAATGTTACTTTGCTATTTTAATAGTTTCTAATTCTCTTTGATTGTTAGATTAATAATTTTGATTAGCTTTTTCAAATAATTAATTTCTTTAATTCATTTTATCCGTGATTGCCTATCTATCTCTCTGTCTATTAAGTAATCTAATTAAGAAATTACAATCTCTCAATGATAGTTTCTAAAGATTCTTGGTTCATAAAATTAATTAATATTTTTATTGATTAAAAAAGGGAATGAAATCTATATATTAAGACATGTTAAATAGAGCATATAATACTCTATTCCATCCATCAGTGTAATGGTTTAGAATCCTAACTCCAGTAAGTTAAAATATAACAATTTTAGGGTTATAATATTTTTAGATACCCTGCACCAGCATCAGAGAAAATAAATCATATTGAACACGATTTCAAAACTCCTTATCGTGACTCTAAATATTATGTAAGACATGATGAACCTGTAATTGATAGAGTAGCAAAAGTAACATTCACTGATCCATTAAATGAAACTACAACAGAAAAGTAATTGATAATAATTAAGAATACATTAGATTAGTAAGATTAAAATTACTAACTAAAGAATAAATCAACAATACAGAAGCTATATAAACTGCTACTTAACAATATGAATTAAAATATGGATTGCCTTTATCTTAAAGAGGTAAGATATCATTATATATTAATATAGTATATTCTAATCAAGTTGGAGGTGGAGATGCTCTATAAGACTTTTTCTAAGGTGAAAATATTAGAGAAGTTATGGCTAGCTATGTAAGAGAATAATGGGAAGAAGTTAATGAAAATGCTCTCCAAGATTTAAATTGTACTAATTTAGATGATGATTATCATCCCAATTTAAATGAAAAAGTGGGATTTAATCTTTAAGAAAATGATCCAGTTTTTAGATAACTAATTGTTGATCTACACACTTTAGTTAAAAACATTGGAGTAATTTAATTGTTTTCAATTTTATTATAGGAAAAAACAAAATAAGAAGGTCATCTAACATTTTTTAGAGGAGATCCCAATTATTGGCATGTATTAGATAATAGTTTCCCTGTTGAATCTATTAGATTGATATAAAATACTTTGGGTGATGAAGTCTCCTAATTAGGTAAAACATTTATATATATAATATTTTTAATTTAGATCCAAAAGCATTATCAAAATAACATAATAGAGAAGATTATCATATTGAACAAAAAGTTTAGGTTCCAATAGAAAATAAATATTATTAATGAAATCATTAAATAAAAAAAATATTTATTCAGTATAATCATTATTTACAATCATTGAATAGCACACGAACAAGAACACTTTTTTTTCTATTCTTAATATTATAATCGCTCAACTAGATAAATATCTTAAATTGGTATTCCTTCTATTTAATCTCTAAATGTGACAGCTTTTGCTGATACTCCTTTAAGAATAGGTTGATTATGTTTATCAAATCTTTTAGTTTTTTTTTTGGTTTTTTCTAATACCACACTATCTTGGTTCATTTATTATTTTTATTAAAAATGACTTTATAATATCAATTAGTAAAAATAAATTGAGTTTATTTATATTAATCAGAGTAGAGATAGCATTAACTCTTTAAATTAGCTAAATGTCATCTAACATTAAATTTAATAATTACATTATTATTTTAATCCTTTGTTGTTTTATCAAAGTTAAATTTAACACATTTATAATCTAAAGAGCAAATATTTTAAATTTCATCTATACTAATTTTTCCACTATGATTTTTATCTATCATTTTAAATGTAACTTATAAATGTTAATTTGTTAAAAGAGATGATTTATCTACAGCTGCTATTATAAATTCATGAAATTCTAAAAATCCATTTCTATCAAAATCAACCTTTTTAAATAATTCCAAAACTTCTTCATAATTTTAACCAGGATAGAGTGATCGATATGCATCTTAAAGCTCATTAAAACTTATCTTTTAATCCCTATTTGTATCAAATGTATTAAATATAGTCGCAAAAAATTGTTTCTATTGTTAATTAAAATGATTCACCATTAATAACAATATACATGCTTGGACATCATTAATATTTTTTATATCTTTCACTTTTCTCATTTATTTGAAACCTTCCACAGCTTTTTATGAATTATTTATTGATTTAATCCAAGTTGTTTCTAGAGCCTACTCAATTGTTGTTCTTGATTTAAAATTATATTATAGTAATTTTGTTATAAAATTTTTACAATATTCGCTGTATTTTTCAAAATCAACACAATCTAATTTCATTCCTCCACGTAAGATATTCTTAATTATTTATTAGAATGTTAATTAAGTACCATTTTTTTAAGGGTGATAATTCGTTAACAATTAATATCCAATCATACCTATTGCCCAAACATCACCATATTTTTATTTTTATTTTGTCTTACAATATTCTGGGGAATAATAATATATTTATTCACCATCCTTATGAAAAGCAGTTTTTGAAAACAAAGGTTCAATATCAACTAATTTTAATATTGGATTTTAAGATTCATCAGAAAACATAAAAGAATCTAATTACAATTCTCCATGATATAAATGTTAACTATGCAAATATTCAAAAAGAGTAAGCATTTGAAACATAATTTCTATACACTTCTATTCTGAAACTTAACCATTTTCCTTAATATGATATGATAATGTATTTCCACTACAATAATCTTCAATCAAATAATAACTTTTATGATCACTGTAGATTTCATAAATTTCAGGTAAATTTATATGTTCCTTTTTCAAAATAAAATTATACCAATTTTTTTTTCTAGACATATTCTACAATGGCTGGTTTTGTAAGACAATCCCAAGTAATTTGTCTAATGTATCTTACTGATTGTGTAAGATTATGACTTACAATACAGTAATTTATAAGTGGATCTAAGATTATCTATATCTCTTACTTTAACATCCTTTAAATCTAGAATCAATTAGTGTATAATTTTTAAAAACACTACCTTCTTATTCATTTATTTTCAAATCTAAATGACTACCTAATTAATCTCTTTCACAATTAGATCCCTATAAATTAAAGCTGTATTTGCTTGTATTTAGATTGTTTTCCTAAGTTTTTATTCTCAATTCTGCTGTTTATTTTTTGCTTTGATTAATTTTCTTTTTTAAAGAATCCTTAAAGGATGTACCTGTTTTACCATCATTTGAAAACAAACAACCCATCGAAACTTTATATATTTTTATTATAAAAATTATAAAGAGAAAATATGATTTATAATTAAAAGATTTCGTTTTATTAAAAAGGTTTAAATCATAATAATTCTAACATAAATTCCTTAAATGATTTTAAATCTAACGTAACCTAAGAATACTTAAATATTTTACCTTTCCATTTTTTTAAAGAGGTAATTTAGGAAGGTTTTCTGATATTATTTCATTTGGAATTTAAAGAGCACAAGACAATTCTTATTCAGTTAGTTTTCCATTTCGACTAATATTAAAAGTTTAAAAGGTCAATAATAGATTTTAGGTTGTCAAAAGAGCTTTACGATCTGTGACCGCTATCAAGAATTCATTAAAATCAATATCACCATTTCCATCAGTGTCGATCTTTTCAAAGATTTATTTGATTTCTTCATCTGAATTCCCTAAAGCTTTGTAAGCAATCATCATCTCCTCAATATTAACTTTGCCATCCTTATTCAAATCAAATTCATTAAATGTATTAATTAATTATGAGAAAGCTTAATTAAAAAATACATTTATCATGTAAATCATGATATGAAACTAAAGTTTATTAACTTATTTAAATTTAGAAAGTTTATTTATGGCTTCTTTTTAATTAAATTTCTTTGGTATCAAATTTTCAATAATCCATTAATCATTAATAGCTTATGAGATTGTTGGACGTTGAGTTGATAATCTTGTTAACATTTTTTTTATAAAACTTTTCCCTTGATTTGAAATATTATCAAAGTTTTTTGATTCATATATTATTGCTCCTTTCATTATCTGATTTTATATGGATTCTATAGTTTCACACTTCGAATAAGGATATCCACTATTTAATATAAAATAACTTAATATTCCACAGGCCCAAATATCACCCTCTTTTGAAAACCTCTCATCCTAAGAAAAAGTTAGGAGTTCAGGAGGAATGAAAATTATTGAATTAGGATTAAGTTCTGGCTTTAAAAAGATTTCCTTATAGTCAATTAACTTTAGTTTAGTAAAATTATTTTCTAAAGAAAAATAGAATGATTTTTGAGTTATTCTTCCATGTATTATGTTATTTTAATGTAAATATTATATAGCCTATAATATTTGGAGAATAAGTTCAGCAGCTTCACCTTCTTAAATCTACAAGCTAGGTTTGATGTAATCGCATAATGGAATACCTAAAACCTATTCTTACACTATTATATGATAATCTTTATCTGAAGAATAATATTCATAAACCTTTATTATATTGGGATGATTCTATTATAATATAAAAATGGTACAAAATTTTATTTTAAGAAATTCTCAATCCAAGAATCGTTTTCTGGTGATCTCTTAATAAACTGAGCATGTCTTATTTGAGCATTAATATTGTGTTAGATTGTTAAAATCTGATCTTCTCCAGCTATATACAGGTTATTTTTAAACATGTACCTTTAATAGGTTTGAATTAATTTAAGATAGTATAGACTTTATTAAAGTTTTGGGTTGAGATTAAGACACTAAAGATTTGTTCTTTCTATACTATTTAATCTGGTTTAACTGTTTGTTAACTTTCAAAGGTATAGTTTTTAACAGTGGCTTTGAGGAAAGTTTTGGTTTAGAGTAATTTCTTTTTATTTTCCAGTCTCTTTTATTATTCCTTTATGAGTTTAGATTTGATATGGCAAGCACCCATTTTAAATCAAATTTATTAATTAAATCAAATCAAGTAAATAAAATACTTTTATACCTATTTTACCCTTTCAGATATGTTAACATTGATCCATTTTTTATTATATAGCTCCTTCAATAAAATTTTCTATTGAATTTAAAAATTAACAATTATTTAAACAGCTGCCCAGATCATCCGCTTTCATATTTACTTAAATTCAAGTCGGTGAAGGTATTTGAACTTCAAAATCAAGAAATATATTTTTCCCATTTTTTCATAGTTCCAGTACCCCCATAATTAATTTATAAAATAATCCGTCATTGTTATTATCATTTATGTTATAATAAACAAATTTTGCAATCTTAATATATTTTAAAGTTTATATAAAAGATCTTTAGAAAATAAATAAATTTAATATCATAAGATATATTGAACATTATAGACAAATATTAAACACATAATAAATAAATTTATCATAAGTCTTATTTTTATTAATTCTAAGGGAGTCCTAAGAAGGATTAAGTGAAATTAATGATTCCATCTTTTGTAATTTCGCTAAGTAAATTAAAAGTCTCAGATATAGGATTAAATGCTACAATTTATGGAAGATAATCTTTAAAATTAAATTTCATTTTTACCATTTTAGATTCCAAAATATTACATCAACCTTAAACCATATTTATTATCTGTATTAGCAATACAAATAAGAATCTGATCTTTAATTTTTGATAAGGCTAATCTTAGTTATTTTTCTGCTTGGTTTGTTAATGAATTTTACAATAAGAAAAGTGTTGGTTAATTTCCTTTAAATATTCTTTTAGCTGTCTAATAATTTAAATTGTTAGTTTTTACTTAAATATCAAAGTTCATTAAAACTGGATAAGAATGTTTTTTGATAAATTATTCTATATAAGAAATCTCAAAATTATCTGTAATAGCAGCTTTTCTTTCATCATATGGTTTATAAATAACAATGCTAGGTACTTAAGCTCTCATTTCATTAGCATAATTTTAATTAAATGTATGCATAGCTTGAATATGTTTATTCTTTCTAAAAAATATAATCTTAGTAATTACTGTGAGAATTAAAAATATTACATGAACTCATATGATTCTTTTTATTCTCCAAAGAATACCATTACTAAAATAGGAGATTCTGAGATTTTTTTTAATTAATCTAATGATTTGGCTTCTACAGAACCTTTATCTAAACAAATATTCAATGATAGTTAGAATTACTTGTTTTTTTTCTCATCCAATCAACTATTGCTTTTTCTGTTCTATCTCCTTAATATTCAATTAGTAATTAACCATCTCCAAATAATTTTAATGTTGGGAATCCATTAACTTAAAATCTTCTACATAAATGTTCATATTAAGGACAATTGATCTTAAACTTACAATTTTAATATTACTTTTGCAAATTAAACATTTTGATTTCTAACTTATCTTGCAGCAGAAGCAAATACTGGAGCTAAATGATGGCTATATTTATTAATCATTTATACCAATGTCCACACCAATGTGCATAGAAATCCACTAATACAAATTCATATTTTTTCAGAACATATTCGAAATTTTAATCGTTCAATATTAAAACTCCATTCTCCTCTGGCACTTATTATCCTAGGACTAAAGAGAAAAAAAGAAGTGTTAGTAAGTATTACATTAGAAAATTCTAGATTATTAAATTTAATGATGTGTATAATTAGAATTTTCATATATAATTCATAGATTATAATAAGCAATTCAATGAAATATTAAAAATATAATTTACCTTTCAAATTCTTATTTCTATTTAAAGTTGTATAAAATATTAGTATAAATTTTGCAACTTAAAATTTTATTTAGTAATCAATAAAATTAAATTTAACAGAACAAAAACATTTTTTCTCATTTAATATTTTAAAATAATTCTTAATATTTGATAAACATAATATTTTGAATATAAGAATAAATATATAAAATATAATTTTACGATAAAAGTAGGATACTTAAAAAATAAATAAGTATTAAATGAAGTTGGAAGGGTTTTGATAAATTTAAGAAATAATTTGTTTAGTAAGTATTTGAACAAAAGGTGAAGTAATAATGAGTTGAGAGAGTATTATTAGATAATATAAAAGTATTAATGGGAGGATAATAAAATAGTTATAAATATATTGATTAATTAATTAAGATAAAAAAATATGCTAGTTGCAAAAAATTCTTTTCGTTAATTCACTTTTTTTATATCATTTTAAATATTTAATATTGTGATACTAGAAATTAATGTATATTTTAAGAAAAACGAAATATTTGGTAAAAACGAATATATTTGTGTAGTTCTATGGTTCAAATGGAGATATTGAATGATTAATTAAATTAATATTATTAATGAAGACAATGATTTTAGCATTAGCACTTATTGTGTTAGCTTCATCAACATAAGCTGATGTTTTAGCTACAATTAAAAAGATAGACTAATCACCTTTTGGAAGAACATTGTTTGATACAATTTGGTTAGAACTCTAAACAGGAGATCCATTAGATAGATTATTATCAACATTAACAGACTTAGAAGATAGATATGTAGCTGAATAGAAAGAAGATGATGCTAAAAATTAAGAGTACTAAGGTGCATGCACAGTTGTATGAATTTTAATTTAAATTTTAAGGATATCTCTGCTTTCGATAAAGATTTGGCTGAATCAAACAGAAAGAAGATTGAACTTGAAGCAAGATTAGAAGGATAATTATATCCATAAAGATCCATCTTAGAAGGATTAGTAGCTTAAAAGACTGCTGAAGTAAAAGGATATTAATAAGATTTAAATGAACTTGATGCTTAAAGAGCTGAAGAACATGAAGATTTTGAAGAAAAAGTCTTAGAACATTAAGAAGCAACAGCAATCATTGCTGAAGCAAGAAGACTCTTTGCTGATAACATTGAACATGAATCTTTTGTTTAAAAAGGAAAGACAACAAAATAAGCTCATAGATTCACTAAAGAAGTTGCTAGTATGATCTAAAAGCATTTCACTACATCAGCCAAGAAGACAGCTAAATTCTAACATAGAAAGGGATATAGCAAATTATTCAAAGCATTTGCTACAATTGCTTCAAAAGTTGAATAATTAGCTGATGCTGGTGCTGTTTAAAAAATCATTAATTTAGCTGATGAATTATTAGCTAAAATTGCTGATTCATTATCTTTATTAAGATTTGCTGAAGATAAGAGAGTTGAAGCTTATAAGAAATCAAGAAACTTTGTAGTTATTGCATTGAATGTTGCTGGAACTGCTCTTGCTAATGCCATTTCTGACTTAGCTTCTTTGAATGATATTATTGCTTAAGTTGAAGCTTCACTTGAAACTACTGAATAAAGAATTGAAAATGTTTCAGCTGATAGACATGATAGATTCACCTAATGTGAAGAAGCTGTTTAAGATTATTAAGATGCTAGATCTGCTAGAAGCTCAGATAGAGATGTTGTTTCATAAACTATCGGATTAGTCAATAAGGAATTAAGAACCTTAAGAGAATAATTGGCTTTAAGATAATCAGCTGGAGAAGAAATCTGATATTTATGAGTTATTCAAAATTTACAAATAATAATCCCATATTCATTTTATTATTCAATTTTATAAGTTAAAAATTAATTAATTATCAATCGATTTTTTTTTATGCAATAACTTGACAATCAAGAAATATTGATGAAGCTTAAGTCTTCTAAATAATTCTGGGATATTAAAAAAAAAGTATTTAATCATCTATCTAGATTAAATAAGGATTTAATGAATAACAAAAAATTGGAGTCAATGATATTCAAAAATTCGCTTAAAGTTGTGAAGTTGAAGATTAGTTAATTAAATTAATTTCTCATATTCTTAAAAAATCTAAAAAAAGAGAAACTATTAAAGAAGATTAAATTGAATTTCTAAATACATCAAAAGTCAAATGGACAGAGTTGTTATTTAAAAATTTAGATATTGTTCATCAAAAAACAAAAAATTAGGAGGAAGATGATACTAATACTGATTCAAAATTGTATATTTATGATGAGAAAAATCTATTGGCTTTTTTATAAACTCTTAAATAATAATAATCTAGTTCTCTATATTAAAATGTACAATTTTAATCGAATAAACTTCTAAATATTAATATACCTCTAAAATCATCATAATCTATATTAGATAAATATTAATACTTATTACTCTAAGAAGAATTACAAGATGAAAAAATTAACAAAATTAGAAAGTAAATTGAAAATGAACATTTAGACATTGAATTAGAAAAAATAGCATAAAATTTTGTTCCTAATGGAGAAAGATGTCTTCTCTACTTAAAATATTTTGAATTTGATCATTAAGAAACTGTTATACAGTAAAACTTTGCAAAACTATAAAAAGAATGTTTAATTTAATTGTTTTATGATGAATTACTTGAAATAGATGGACATGAAATATCTGAAGATACTTTTTATTTTGTATTTTAAGAGTAAATTCTGACATGTTTAAAATGTTTTATTAGAGATAAAACAATAAAAGAAAATATAAGAGTAATAAAATTTAAAAAATTACTAGATTCAATTTTAAAATGGACTAAAAAAAGAAAATACTGAATTTCAATTACCAGTTACAGGTTTTTTTCCTTTTAAAAATATTTCTAAATATGTTGCACCATTATGCTATCTCTCAACAAAAATACATATAATCTATGCATTATTTAAAGAATTTTTTTGTAGATATTTTTGCTTTTTGCATTCTATTTCTTCAGAAAGTAATTCAATTTTATCTTTGTGTATGTAAATAGAAGAAATTGTTAGTACTCGATCTCCAAAATTATTTCATCATTTAAAGGTTATTGGATGTGATACATTGAAATTGATTATACATTAATTGGTTTATTGTTTTATAGGAGATATGGATCCTCCCCATATTTTAAGCATTTATGATTAAATTATAGGACATGATAGTTTAGAAATATTAGTTATTTTGTGTGTAGGTTTTCTAAATAAATATAAACCAAAGTTATTGTTAGCTAAGAATGGTGAGAATATTTAATAAATTTTTTCAGAATTAAGAGAAGATAAGTTTTAAGAATTAGTGCAATTTGCATATAAATAATGAATTCTATATCACTAATCTAGTTTATTTTATTTTAAAAATAGTTAAATAATCAAATGATCATTTCGAAGATTTCTTTAAGCCTCCTTATAAAATTTAAATAGCTTTCTAAATTTCTTCATCCTAATGTTGTGCTAATTCAGTAAGAGAATTCACCTAAGGTTTTTGATTGATTTTCATTTGTTTTGACTATTCCTCAACAGTGAATACTAAAAGAGTAATAAAAATTAGGTACCTGATTTATGATTTCTTTAGTATAATTGTTAGACCGTTTTTTTTTAAGCTTGGAAAGGTTATTCATCTCTTAATTATGAAATCTACATTTATTGTTATAACGAATCTATTTATTAATTTTATGGTAAAAATGCTAATCTTATGTCTTATTTTAAACAATTAGGTTTGATAGGTTAATCTCCCCTATTATGATATTAGTCATATAATTAATCTTATGTTTGTAATTTTTGATTTTATTGTTGAATTTATGGATTGAAATTATTGAAAGAGTTAATTTATTATATTTATATATCACTAGAAGGATTATTTTAGAGTTATTCTTAAGATTTTTTCTTTTTATGATTCAACTAATCTTTGATCGCTTAAGGTTTTTATATGATTTTACCAACCTCTGAACATAAACGATTTATTTCGCTAGCAAAGTGATGAACTGATCCAACAGTATTAATTTCTTTAGTTTAATCTTATTTTAAAGAATCTTAATGATCAAGAATCTTTGCTGGATCTCCATAGATTGTTTTTGGTGGATCTAAGCCTCTCTTTGTATAATACTCTAATGGATTTCTTCTTAAAGTTTAAGTTTAGGATTGAGTTTCCATTTCGTTAAATATTGTTGAATATGAAGAAAAGGTTTGATATTTAGCAAAATGATTAAGGTCTTCAGCCATTTATTTTAATTAAATTAATGAACTAAGATCATGTGAGTTAACATACTTAGAGCCATACTCCTCATAATCAGGAACCTAACCCTTAGTTGTCAAGTAATTAATCATTGCATATCATGGTAGAATATTAATAAATAAATTGAAGAACCCAGAACAATTATAACTAATTTAAGAAATTGAAGAAGAATAATAACAACCTCAAAAATTACGTTCCCGATTAAGTTTAGATTCTGATAGAGATAGAGAGAGTGTTGGAAATTAATGGATAAAATAACGACCTGGTAGTTCTAGTCCTTCAGATTAAAAAACTGTGAAAAATATAACTAATAAAAGTGGAAGTTAAGCTTTAATTAGTGGTAATGGGCGTTCAAGTAAAACTCCACAAGATTTCTAAGAAGAAATCATTCCATAAGTTAGAAGTATCCTAAAATAAGGCACATATATAAGTCATTCATCATAGCCTAGAAGTAGATGTTTAAGACCTAGTAGATTATAAAGGTATAAGATTGTTTTGTGATTTGATAGTTTACATAGTTTACCATAATCAATTAGAAAGAATAGAGTATATCCTGAAGAATAAAGAGATAATATTGGTTCAAATTAGAATGATTCTTTATCTGAAGATTCATTTTTTGAAGAAACTGAACAGAACGATTTGGGAGATGAAACAAGGTATAGATTTGATAAAAGGTATTAAAGTTAATATAAAATTCAGATATGCTCATCTTAAATATATAATATATCCAGATGATCCAACAAAATTATGTTGGGATATTTTAATTATTATTGCATTAATGTATATATGTATCATTGTACCATATGATATATCATTCAAAGAAGAAGGTTAAGAAGAAACCACTGCTTAATTTATTTTAGGATTAGTCTTAGATTTACTCTATGGAATAGATATAATAATAAACTTTATGAGTGCATATGTTGATGATTAAGATGAATTAATAGTTGACAAAACAACTATTATTCAACATTATTTAAAAAGTTGGTTTGTTTTGGATTTAATTTGTGTTGTTCCTCTAGATTATATACTTGAAAATAATGAAACTTCAAGTTACTAAAAATTTGCTAAGATTCCTAAAGCTTATAAAATGTTTAAATTAGTTAAAATGTCAAGATTATTAAAATTCTGTGTTTAGAAAAAAAAGTTTGGAGAAATGATTACTTCATTTTCTAATATTAGTGTAATAATTTTATAAATTATTATAGTAAAATATCAGAGTGATGATAATTTCATTATTTTCTGTAATATTAGTTAGTCATATGTTTTCTTGTTTTTGGTATTTCATAGGAACTGTTTCATCTGAATCAGAAACTTGGATTACTCATTTTATAGGCAATCATACAAATTTTGAAAGATACATAATGAGTCTCTATTGGGTATTTTAAACAATGGCCACTACTGGTTATGGTGATATATCAGCAACAAATAGCACAGAATAAATGATTGCAATATTCATTATGATTATAGGAGTTGTTTTCTTCTCTGTTACTATTGGTTCTGTTAGTTCATTACTTACCTAATTAGATAGTTAAAATCTTAAATATAAAGAAAAGATTGACACACTTAATGAAATTACAAAAAACTACAAAATTGATAATGCACTTTATTCAAAAATCTGCAAAGTATTAAAACAAGGTTACAAAAATAACTAAAATGAAGTTGTAGAATTTCTTAATCTATTACCATAAAATTTAAGAACAGAATTATCTCAAGCAATGTATAAAAATGTATTTCTTGGAATTGATCTTTTTAAATAAAAACCATTAAGATTTACTGCGTATATTGGGCCTTTATTGACTATTCTTAGAATACCAGAAGGAGATGTAATNAGAGATAATATTGGTTCAAATTAGAATGATTCTTTATCTGAAGATTCATTTTTTGAAGAAACTGAACAGAACGATTTGGGAGATGAAACAAGGTATAGATTTGATAAAAGGTATTAAAGTTAATATAAAATTCAGATATGCTCATCTTAAATATATAATATATCCAGATGATCCAACAAAATTATGTTGGGATATTTTAATTATTATTGCATTAATGTATATATGTATCATTGTACCATATGATATATCATTCAAAGAAGAAGGTTAAGAAGAAACCACTGCTTAATTTATTTTAGGATTAGTCTTAGATTTACTCTATGGAATAGATATAATAATAAACTTTATGAGTGCATATGTTGATGATTAAGATGAATTAATAGTTGACAAAACAACTATTATTCAACATTATTTAAAAAGTTGGTTTGTTTTGGATTTAATTTGTGTTGTTCCTCTAGATTATATACTTGAAAATAATGAAACTTCAAGTTACTAAAAATTTGCTAAGATTCCTAAAGCTTATAAAATGTTTAAATTAGTTAAAATGTCAAGATTATTAAAATTCTGTGTTTAGAAAAAAAAGTTTGGAGAAATGATTACTTCATTTTCTAATATTAGTGTAATAATTTTATAAATTATTATAGTAAAATATCAGAGTGATGATAATTTCATTATTTTCTGTAATATTAGTTAGTCATATGTTTTCTTGTTTTTGGTATTTCATAGGAACTGTTTCATCTGAATCAGAAACTTGGATTACTCATTTTATAGGCAATCATACAAATTTTGAAAGATACATAATGAGTCTCTATTGGGTATTTTAAACAATGGCCACTACTGGTTATGGTGATATATCAGCAACAAATAGCACAGAATAAATGATTGCAATATTCATTATGATTATAGGAGTTGTTTTCTTCTCTGTTACTATTGGTTCTGTTAGTTCATTACTTACCTAATTAGATAGTTAAAATCTTAAATATAAAGAAAAGATTGACACACTTAATGAAATTACAAAAAACTACAAAATTGATAATGCACTTTATTCAAAAATCTGCAAAGTATTAAAACAAGGTTACAAAAATAACTAAAATGAAGTTGTAGAATTTCTTAATCTATTACCATAAAATTTAAGAACAGAATTATCTCAAGCAATGTATAAAAATGTATTTCTTGGAATTGATCTTTTTAAATAAAAACCATTAAGATTTACTGCGTATATTGGGCCTTTATTGACTATTCTTAGAATACCAGAAGGAGATGTAATATACAATGAAGGGGATTATGCAAGTGAAATTTATTTCATAAGAGAAGGGAGTATTTCCTTATGTATTAAAGAATGTGATTATCATCCTTTTGTTACCATTGATGCAGGATAATATTTTGGAGAAATTGAATTAATTAAAGAAACTTAGAGAAAATATACAGCCATTGCATAAAAATAATCTGAATTACTTGCATTATCTAAATCACATTTTTTTAAGATTTTTTTTTCTGAATTTCGAGAAATTGGAGAAGAATTACATGAAGATGCCAGAAGAAAAAAAAGAGATTATGAAGATAAATACACTAAAACTAAGGCTTATCTATAAGGATTAGAATAAAAAGCTGAATAATAGATAATTGAAGCTAATAATTAACCAAAACCAAAATTAGGTTTAGAAAAATTTAAATTAAATTTAATATTTTAAACTTAAACTAAAAAAGGATTCTTAGATAAAGCAATCAAAGATGCTGAATAATTAGCATCAAGTGAATTGAAGAGAAGAATGACTCGATTAAAAACTGTTTTACTATAAAAAGGAATTATAAATAAATTTGATGAAAATAGTCCTACTAAAATATCTCCAAATATTATTAAACGTAATACTCTTAATAGTGAACATATACCAAGAAAAATAGAGAAAAAAAATACATTTTTACCTTTGAATGTATTTTTATAAGCTTAATAATTAAGCTCAGAAGAAGAAAAACCACCTAAGAATAATTAATAATAGGAATAAAATGCATTAAGGTTTCCTAAAAAAGCTATGACTGCATTTGTTTAAATAGAACAAAATTAATAATAGGAAGAATTTATAAAATCTCAAGATGGCATGAATAATTCTTAACATCCTTCATCATATAACACGAACATTTAATTTTTGAAAAAAAGAAAAAAACAATTATATCTTTGATTTATTTTTATTTTTCTCATTACCTATCAAAATATTGAAATTAATTGAAGGGTTTATAAGATTCTAATAAATTCTTGATTTTCAAATATGTAGATTTTTATTCTAATAATATTTCATTAATATTAATAAAAATAATTCTCAAACTATTCGATGATTGATGATCTACAAAGTTTTATTATTAAAAAATAAGATAAATATAAAATAAAAGTAATTGTGTATTTAGTTTCAATATTTTAAAGTTCTTCAGTTATTTGTTCATGATAATTTTTATTATAAATATTTTCCTTAAAAATGTTCTAAGCAGAAAAAGGAGCTAAATCTACTTCAGGAAATACAGGGTAAGAGATTTCTTTAAGTTTAGCTTTGTGCCAGCATAGGATTTCGATTAAGATTTATTATAAATATAAGGCAATAGAAATCATATTCCAAGTTTTGCATTTAATAATTATATATAGATTATGCTGGTTTTGTTCCTGGTATAAGATCTGAAAATTTATTTGGAAAAACTTTTGGGAAAATCACTCTTTTATCTAGTACAAGATAACATCATTAAGGGTAATAAAAACTAATGATTATTGAAATCTAGATCTAATTTACCAGCAGATTTAAGATATACAAGTGAAGTAAAGGAAGCGTATAATGATTAAACTCATTATAGAATGAAAGATAAATTATTATATGGAAAACTTGATTGTGAAACTTCTGTAATTTATATTTCAATATATTTAAAGAAAGCTACAGGATATTCATTATCAAACTAAACAAATACTTAATAACCAAAGACAATTAAAGCCAGAGGTATTTAAGAATAAGTATTGTATAGTTGATACAAAGGAGAGAGCAAGTAATATGAATTATTAGGAAGCATTAAAATAAGCTGGAAAATGATTATATTAATTATGAGGATTTATAAATTATCACACATTTATTTGTTTTCAAATCAAATACATTCTAATTATGAAGTCATTAATAAAAATAATTTAATGAGTGAAAACTATAATTTTTCTGATTTCGTCAAATTTAAAAAGGGTAGTACCTTTGGCATAGGAAAGATAGAGAATTTCAGTCGAGAGGAAGATTGGTTCGAATATTTCGAATACATTTTAAGTGAAGAATTACCAACAGGTTGGTTTATTTATTGTATATTATATTGTATATAATTATTACACAACACACATTTTCAAATAATCCTTATTATTGTGTTTTTCTTTTTTATTAATTTTTATTAGGTAAGCAACAACATCATGGATTGTATGAAGTGTTTAAGACAGATTAATTAAAGAAAGGAAAAATGTCTGATATTATTGAAAGAGTCTAACTTAGTAAATTGCCTGAGTATATTCAAATGACAGAAAAGAAAGGATATGTGATGAGATAATAATTTATATCCAAGGATTTGATGCCTCTATTAAAATAGTGTTTTTGTGGCTAATATGTAAATCCAGATTAGGTACTTGTGCTTTGTACATCATGTGAAAAGCCATTTCATGCTGAATGTTTAATTAAATAATTTGATTAAGGAAATGCTAATTGTGATTCATGTAGAGAAATTCTTTCTAATAATTAAATAACAGATCGTATAAGGGATGCATTATAGGTTAGACCGTCTACAATTGTTATTTAATCTAATTAATAAAAAACATATGAATAATAAAAAGCTATTTAGATTGAAGAAGAAGAAGAAGAAGAATAAATTGATAGAAATGAAAGAAGAATTGATTTAGAAAAAATTGTTAAAAAAATAAAAACAAAAGATGGTCCAATTCAATCTAAAGTTCAAACTGTTAAATAAGACACAAAAGTTTAAATTGTAAACTAAAATACTAATGGAAATTCTAAAGAAAAAAATTAAATACATGAAACTCATGTTCCATAAACTAATCATCCAGAATAGTCAAAACCATAATCTTAACCTTTTAAAAATATATCATCATAAGCTGTTGAAAAAATGAAAAGTTGGGTTGAGAGATATAGATAAATGGAATCAAATGTTTCTAATTTTGAAAAGAAAAGATAAGAAGTTAGAGAAAAATTCTTTTCAGTTATTTTTTATGGTATAGAAGAATTAAAAGATATGTATGAAAAAGATCCATCATCTATTACTCAACTTGAAAGAGAAATTATAAGTTACACTGATAATGCATTATTTTAATATATTAAGAATTTAGCTTTAGATATTGAAGTTTATACTCATATCAAATTTAACACATAATATAAAACAAAATTAGAACCTTTATATGTTGATAGGTGTAAATTAATATATTTACACATGAAAGATGATAAAAATTTAGAATTAAGAAGAAAAGTCATATCTAAAGAATTTTAAGCATAAGATTTGAGTACTAGAGATGAAAGAGATCTCTATAATCCTGAAAAAAGAAGATAAACATAAGAAATAGCTATGAGAGTTATTGAACTTAATTAAAAAGAAAAAGATGATGAATAAAAAATTATCAAAGATATCGAAGATGTATCATTTTCAAGAAATGTAAATTTAATATTTATTTTAGCAATCAATTAATGAAGAAATTTCTATTCCTACTTAAAAAAAAGATGGACATTCAACTAAAAATCTTTTAAAAGAAAAAATGATGGAATATTCTGTTGAAAAATCAATCATAAGATTTAAGAAAAGAATTGCCGATGAACTTAATGAAAAAGAAAGATTATAAATATTAGCCAGTCTAGAATAGTTTTAACTGCATTAATGAAGAATTCAAATAATATTTGTTTTATATAAATCATAATTTAAAATATTTAAAGTATTCTTGATTCCAGAAAAAATTGGTTAAAAATTATAAAATTAAAAATCAAATATCTTTATAGTAATCTCTCCATTTAAATTATGTTTTTATTGATGTTTCGAATGCAATCCTTATTAAATTTTCGATTGCTTTTTCTTTTGAAGTTACTTCGCAATATTATAGGTTTTTTATGGATCTCCGACTTTTTATAAAATTAATAATCCATTTTTTAAAATATTTAATTTTTCTTTTTTTTTAAATTATATCATATTTGAGTTACACTATCTAAAAATCTTATTTCAATTTTTAATCTGAAAGTGATCTCCATAATATTTATAAATTTTCATTACTAATTAAATGTTTCCATGCAAAAAATGCCTTTTTCTAGACATTTTTATTATATACTTCCATAGCCATTTCTTCTATTTATTGTCTCTATTATTTTAAAGTTATTATCTTTAATTAATCTTATAGCTTTTGTTGTTTATTTGTTAATTGATTATATCTTAAACCTTCAAGTCCTTTCCTTTTTAATAAAAATTAATAAAAAGGGTGATTTTCTTTATCTTTTTTCCAAAATTGAAATATTTTTTCCATTTTTTTTTATTCCATAATTTTAATAAATTCTTTTTATTAATGTCTTTAAAGAAATGCTACTTTCCATTTAATATATACTTTTTACATTAAATTTGGACATAATTTTAAATCTTCTTTAAGTTCAAAAATTATGACTTTAATTTTCTTTGCTTATGTTTATTTCTCATAAATAGTTTATAAATCATATAAACAATTAGGCCCATCGTAAATATTTTTAGGTTTTTCATCAGTTAAAAATTAAGACAATATTTGATTATCATTTTCATTATTGTCCTCTTTTGGATTTTTGCCAATTAAAATTTTTTGTTTTTGTTCCTTTTCTAATTATAATTAAATTAATTATTATTAAATCATCTATTTAGTAATCTATCTCCATTATCCTAAAGATTATTTACTTAAAATCTTTTTTATCAATTTTATTGCTAGTCTTTATCGAAATAAACATTATTTTAAAATCTTCCAATTTTGAAATATTGTATTCAAATTTTTTAATCTAATATGACTATAAACTAAATCATAGAATTCATTCTTTTATTTTTTCCTTTAAGAATAGTTATATAACTTTTAGAAATATTTTTTTTAATTTAACATTTGCTTGATTTAATTGACCTCATTTATTACCTTGTTTATTGCTCCTTTATATTTGACTCTCAAAAGTAAATATCTTAAAAACATTTTTTTCATTATTCGTTTCTACTCTAATAATAACATATTTTTCTTTCTTTCGTAGAGCGCGTCACTTAATAATTCTTTTTTTATTTCATTAGCCCTTATGCAAAGTTCCCTTATAGAATAGATATAATTCAAACATAATATAATACTGTAGATTTTTAATTACTATAAGAGCTGTATGCTTATAATTGTAAAATCCTTAAAATTAGTATTATTCTTTTATTTTATTGAGTGATTAAAATAATTTATACTCTTCATACTCTCAATTAAAAATAAAATATTGATATTTTAAGTGCTCAAATTTGCTAATTCTTCTTCAGGCCAAAATATGCATAAATTTAAATTCAATTTCAATTCTAATTCTAATTATTTTTCAATTTTGATTGGAACCCAACTAGATGGACTTTCTAATTCAAATTCTAGTTTTTTTATTACTAATTTTGGTTAAATTTGCTTTACTACGCCAATTCTTTTCTAAATTCTAGATTCATTAGGTATACTTCTAATTTTCTCTAAGTCTTTCTATTATTCATCTGCAAATTTAACTTAATGTTATTACTCATCATCTTCATCTGGTTCAATTAACATTTATAATTTATAAATTTCTGGTGTTGAGCATGTAAATTATTTTGTGGATAAATCCTCAACTTTAGGCTTTGTTTTTTTTACTGTTGTTAGCTTTTAACAAAAAAAATCAATTTCCTTTATTAGCATTGATTATTATGAAAATTCATCTTATTAAATTAAAGGTGCTTAAAGGAGTTTGGGTCTCTGCAATATTAACATAGTCTCCTCCATTTACTTTAGAATGCTTTTTTAAGGTTAAAAATTCGAAGTCTTATCTTTTTGCACTTTAATCATGAAAACTTATTAACTGAAAAAAATTAATTTGAATTAATCACATGCAAGAAGAGAAAAAACAAATATAATTCTAAAAAGAAGATGATTTGGAGGATGCAATTTATTAATTTAAATGGTTCAAATATATAAAGGATAGGGATTAAGAATTTATGATTTTTTTTTAAAATAATGAAAATCTTTTTTAAAGAATTATTTGTTGAAAAAGAATTATGAAATGGAGATGTCAGAGTATAATAATTAATTTTGAAATTTCAAATTTTTATTTGTTATATATGTTAAGAGTACTAAGTGATAATAAAATTATTATTTTAGTCTTGCAGAAATTTCTAGATTATTAGAAATAATGTATTAAATAGGTTATCTCTTTTATAAAAAGTCAATTTTGTCAAAATTAAATTTGGTAAAATTAGCAATTAATATAAGTAAAATTTTATGATTTTATTTTTCATAAGTGTTAAGAATTATCTTATTAGTTATTACTATTTATTTAGATTGATTGAAACAGGGAGTATATTTGAGAATAATATAAATAAAATAATGAGATAGATTTTCATCTGTAATAAATTTTTGAATTTTTAAATGTTTTATTTATTATATTATTTTATTAAAAGCACATTTGATATTCTGTTATTAATATAAAATCACAAGCTGATAAAAAAATATTCAAGGATCTAATCTTAAAAGCCTTCCATTAGTTAATTTCCTCATGATTTTTCTTTTAGGCAGTTGTTCATTTTATTCTAAAGTTAAAAGTTCGAGTTAATTTCTTTAATTAATAAGAAGCAAATCTGGGGCTATCTAGACTTGTTTACCTTTATATTTAAGTAACTTATTAATCTTTTCGTTTTATTCATCTATTTCGGTTTTGATTCTTCTATTTTAATCAGAATTCATCTCTAGAACTGAGATGTAAAGTGAAGATTGTTGAGGTATACTACTTTGATTATTTTAAAATATGTTTCTTTTTTGATCAAGTTTCGGTAAGCTCTATTCTTAGATGGGATCTAACGAAGTAGGTTTTTACTAAAGGTTGTAATTTTGTTTTTTAAATTTATTTCCCGAAATTTTAAGAGGAGCATAATAGTTTGTAGGTAAAAGATCAAAAGAATTAAGAAATGATGAAGGTCTAACATTTCTATAAGGTTTTTGTGAGAGTTCAGATTATTGAGGTTGTTTAAAGTTTTGATTAATCATTTAGATTTAGAATTCTTTATAATTAATTTTTTAATCTTGATTTTAATGAATTAATATGAATTAATGCTTTTCAAATAAAGTTGAAAACTAATAATAAGAATCCGGATTTACAAAAGAGAAAAATAATTGATTGTATTTAGTAATGAAATATACAAGTGAGCTAATTTAATATAACTAAATTTGAAGTGAATAAATTAAACTAGAGCAAAAAATTAGAAGAGATAAGTTAAAGTAAAAATAATGATATATCAAAAAAGAAAGAATATAGTATTTAATTCTGAATAATAATAGCAGAAAATAATTGATAATTTATATATAAGTATTTGTGTGTAATTTATGAAAATTCAAATCTTTTTAATAATTAATGGCATTTGTTAAACTTGTCAAAGGAACCCCATATTTCAAAAGATTCTAAACAAAATTCAGAAGACGAAGAGAAGGAAAGACAGATTACTATGCAAGAAGCAGAATGATAACTTAAGACAAGGATAAATATAATTCTCCAAAATATAGATTTGTAGTTAGACATACAAACACAAAGATTATTTGTTAAGTCATTTATGCTACTTTAAAGGGTGATAAAGTAGTGGCAGCTGCTGAATCAACTGAATTAAAGAGATTTGGTTTAACAAGTGGTTTGACTAATTATGCTGCTGCATATGCCACAGGTTTATTATTAGCCAGAAGAACACTTAAATCATTAAAGATGGATAAATTCTATGAAGGTAATAAAACAATAGATGGAACATTGTATGATGTAGCTGATAAAGAGAATCCAGAAAGAAGACCATTCTTTGCTGTTCTTGATATTGGTTTGGTTAGATCAACACTCGGAAATAGAGTATTTGCTGCCTTAAAAGGAGCAGCTGATGGTGGTATTCACATTCCACACAATAACAGAAGATTCCCAGGATTCGTTGTTGATAATGATAAAAAAGAAAAATATGATGCTAATGTTCATAAAGAAAGAATCTTTGGTGTTCATGTTGATAAATATATGGC